TTGCTCTGTAACTTACCAGAAAAAAATATCCAAACTAAAAAAAAACAAATATTAATGTGGTGGAATAAACCATTATAATATAAAACATAATGAAATAATAGCAACAGTTGCGAGAGATAAGCTATTAACATTATTTCCACCAGAACTGGAAATAATGTCCATAAATGTAAATGTATATTTGACGACCCTGGTTTAAGTGAATACTGCACATGTATTGTCAGTAGACGTAATAGTCATAATTCTACCTTTATGAGTAAAAAGGTGTATACTGTCACATCTATAATATACATACATCAATTGTGCGTCATCATTGTCTTCAGAAAAATGTTAAATTTCTCCTTCTGAAGCATTTCATTTGTTGTCGCAGTCATTAATCCTTGTAGTTTTTAAGCTACATTACTTTTCTTTCACTTTGAGGCTGTGACTGGAAAGGCTACACTTTTCCCCTTGCTCCTTTATAGAGGTTAAATGAAGCGTGCACGTCTAGGAGAGCTCGCGGTGCATGTGCGAGAGTGTGCTAATGACTGTGGTTTAGACCAGCATTCGTTTTTTATTATTAGTCTGTTGGAAAAAGCATTACGTCATCTTTGTGTATGAAGTTGTAGGTCAGAGATGAAAACTAAATGAATCCCATTGACTGATAATGCGGCCGCAGACAGCCCCTGTGCTGCAGAGAGTTACCTCCTCCTGTCTCTGCTTTCAACTTCGCCAATGACTCAAAATGCAGTGAGCTAATCTTGAAATATATTCTTCACCACGTTTTTACGGCATGTGTGTCTAAGTGCGTTTTGGTCCAGTCTGCATATTTGCCGCACAGATGGAAGCAGTTAAGCCTAATTTAACACCAACACAAGAAGCCGGGTCAGATAACTAACAAAATCTATTAGCAAAAGTATCATTCTGTTGTCATTTCGTCTTTGGGGAAACGGTTGAACATTGAGCGAATGAAAACATAAATACAGAGCCAGAAAAGGCACATCTAAAAGACATCAACAGACGCTAAAAGAACAAATGGTGATTTAAACTGCGTAGAAAAAAAAACATGAAATCAATTAGCACAAACACAGTGGCTAATGAGTTCGTAAAACCACTGATGACAATTCGCTGCTTATTTAGACACACAATATACGATATATAAACATGTACAGCAGATTTATCACTGAATATTGGAACCCGAAGAGCAAGTGATTTATCTACAGATTTATACAAGTATATATTTCTATTTTTTACTTTAGAGATAGAGATTCTATTCCATTTAATTGTGGTATACATGATATTCATTCTTACTATACTTGTGTTGTGTGCTCCTCTTTCCTACTGTTCTGTAACTTGTGATGTGATACTGACATCTCCCCACTGTTAGGAGGAATGAAGAATCTCTTAATATTTCAGTTTGTGCTTAATCAACCATAAAAAACAATTATCGGTAAAACGCTAACACTGTACTGTATAGGCTACTGCAAATTGATTTTCCGAAAGTTTTACATAAATATTGTAAATGAGCATTGATGTATTTTGTGTGGTTCTGTGAATGCTTTTCTCACATCTATCAGAGGAATACATGAAAACCACATCTATATGAAACGTACCCAGCCACAAATACATTGAGAGGTCTGTTTTTCTCTGAATAGGTCCAAAGTGTTATTTATTAGCCTGTTTTATTACCCGTCTATAATCTCCTACAGTCAGATTGACGACTTTATGAGTGTAATTACAGCTCCTGTTAGACACCCAAGTCTACAGTCACGGTCTGCGTTGATAAATTAAAGGGATATTAGTAGTTTTCACTTCACGCTCAAATACCAATCTCATAAGATTGTCAGGCTTGTACCCAGATGTAATTATTTTTTCCAACCAGTCATTCGCCTCACATAGCCAGTGACTAAATTAGATGTTTGCACTTGACAGAAAGGCTTAACGCAGCAATACAGAATGGAAAATCCAGTTATATGGATATCTGAAAAAACACACACACATGCTCCCAGACTAGATTTTAAATACTTAATTACAAGGGATATTTAAGGTCATTTTTATTCATACTGCAAAAATAAAGTAATTATGTATTGTTTTATTGTTTATTGTAAATGCTGTGCTGTTGAATGTTCAACCAAACCTTTACGTATTTGACTTTATTTGCAGCATGTTTCCGCAGTTTTTCCTCCTTGTCTGCTGAAGAAAGCTGATGCATTTTGTGTTCGACTGTCGCCTGGATTTAATGTTAGCATCAGTCTAAGTGGCCTAACGGATTATATCTCTATAGGGTACATACTGGTACACTTCTAAAAGTGTTTGACGGTGGGGATCATAATGGTGCGGACAAATGGCTCCTTGGGGCCCGTGGCAGTGTGTTTCTGTTGTGGTCGTGTTTGGACAGCGAAAGGGGAAAGCAGGGATGTCATCTGAGCGTAGCCCTATTAGTCTTCAGGAGTTGTTTTGACTACCAGTCCGGCCTCCAGTGTTTTTACTGAACCAGCAGCACATCGTGTGTCTACAGCTGTGCTTCCGAAAGCCATCAGGGGGAGACGAGCCAGTCACTGTTTCATGCTCTTTGGATGCTTTTAAATGCTTTTTGTAATCTCTTAGTTTATAAAGAACCTTTTTGTAATGTTATAAAGTTGTTAAAACATAACCACTTTACCACCCCCACAGCTGGGGGACCTAGCTTTGAAAAATAAATACTTGAGAAAATCAGACCACATCATGTCAAAGAGCCCTTTTGACTCTTTGGGCTGAAATTTGATGAATATGAGTGAGGGCGACCCTCTCTTTTTAACAAGCATGTATATTAAAGCTAGTGATAGGAAGATGAACTAGTTTCCTGGCTAGTTGGTTTGAAAATTAGGTACCCCAACTTTAAATCAGTGTTATGTATTTTAGGGACAGCTGATTGTGATACTGATACCAATTTACAGTAAGTAATCTTTACCATGTCCATAGTAATGAACAACTGGGCTCATTGATTTTGTAAATATATTTTGTGTGACGATTTAAATACTTTTAGTTCTTTGTCCAAACTGTCCAAACTTAACCAGACAAGACTTATACCTCAGGACTCATTTTACAGTAATACAATCATTGCATTCACTGAGGCAGATAAATGCGATGTGCAAATCCCAAAAGAAGAATTGCCAAGGACATTTTTCCTTTCACAATTTTCTTCTGTATCTCTGCAAACCCAAACTGTTTACAGACATACAGAAGCTTAAAAAAATGTTGTGGCTTTTGTTTGCGCTCGTCACCCACATGCAGCGCTAACCACCGTAGCACAGATAACACAATCTTTGGTAACAACACTGTCCAGCTGGAGCCTCCATTGACAACAGCCCCTCTCATCAGTGGGAAGACCGGACTCAATCCTGTCCAAGTCCTAAATCCTATGATCTCACTACGTCATTAGGTCCTGATACCCCTCCAACCACCTACCCACCTTTTGTTGATGTCAGTCAGGCAGATTTTTCCAGTGAACACCTACACCTTATCCACGCCGGAGGAAATGTGTAACAGGTGTTCGACTGAGGAGCGGAAAACCGATGGGGGCGTTGGGGTAAAAGCTTAGAGAACTATTAAGTCCGACCCAAAACTGAAATTGTGGAGGAGTACAAAATGATCAGAATTAACCTCTGCAGATGTGGTTCTGGGAGAGTTTAAGAAGCAGTCCTCGATTTGTTTCATTTATGGTGAATAAAGTAAATACCTTATTGACTGCCATTTGTCTGAGACTGGTGATTTCTGTCAAACTTCCCTCTATTCGACTGGAAATTACAGGACAACAAAAATACTTAGAAACAAACACATTTTTTCTGATGAAAGTAGACAGTCCAGTCTTTCAGAATCTGGTTTCATATTTCACATAGTCATATCACATCATATTCTGTGGGTCTTGAGAATCGGCAATATCATAAAAAACGGCTGGCAGTCAATGAGTTAATTGTCTCATTATTAATAGTTATTGCTGATGTCATGATGATAGATTAAACAACTTCTGTTTTCGGGCATATTCATTTTTGTTTCATTGGAAGAAGTTTTTTTTTTCCAATACTAACAATATGTTTGATGTCTAGAGAGTCGAATTAGTCCTGATAAGTGGTTCTATTTATTTAATGACTATTTCATGAATGAATGAATAAAGTCTTTTTTTAGTCCCACATTGGGGAAATTAAAGTTTTTTTTTCATCTTGAAGATATTTTTACGAGACAAATGGCCTTAATGTTGTTTCCATATACAGATGTTTACTCAGATTTTGATTGCACTTTGAAAACCAAATGTTTGTTGCTAATATTCCTATTGAAGTCTATCACTTGATAGGTGTAATTTAGGTATTATTTTTAATCCAGCATCAGCTATATATCAGTTATTTGTTGGAACTAAATAATGTTTTTCGTATATCTATGTAATTTACAATGGTTTGGGGCCATGGCGCTCTGGATGTCCTGAGCAGAGTGGAGCAGAGGTGAGCAGGGGAAAATCTGATGTGATTTTCCTGGCCCGATAGAGAGGCCAGCCCACCAGCCAGAAAATCAGGAAATCAAGGCCTCCGTGCTCCGATACCAAAGATAATGCAGATCACGCGCTGCTTCTGACTCAACCCGGCTGTCGCTCATGGGGCCATAGAGGTCTATGCGGACAAACTATTTTGTTTTTGATAGATACAAAATGTCCCTTCTCCTTCTAGTTCTAAATAAAGGATTTGGGCTGTGCAGTGAAAACAAGTATTACTGTGATTTAAATGGTTTCTTTCATAAGGAGCTTTGTAATGAGCAATAATTAGTAATAAGTTTACAAGCATTTGAATGGAGTTAGAAATATGAGGCCTTTACTTTCACAGCAGGTCAAATGTGGTGAATTGTAACTCTCATGACTATTACTACTATTCTAAAATCTTATGCAAACCCTGGAATTGCTTTGTTGATGTGAGGTTATTAGAAATGTCACAAAATACATTTCACCGTTCTCTTTTTGTGAGTCTAACCAACATTTTTCTGTTTTTTCTTTTTTGCAGAACAAAGACAGAGAACGAAAGACTGCAATAAGAAGTTAACGGCTTGGACACAGACCTAAAGAAGTGTTTAAATTATGATGCATTTCCAGGACTTCTTCTGAGCGTCCGAAGCCATTTGACCCGTAAATACAAGTTTTGAGGATTACTTTTTGCATTGGGAACTGAAACCAGGCGTCGTGTGCTTTTCCCACGACAGGACGTTTTTTTCAACACTCTTTTGTCGCTGAAGACTTTGTTCATGGCATTGATCATATGGCACATTGTGGGACCACTCCAAATGTTTGAAAGACAAATTTGTATTCATCAAAAGCTGTGTGTAATGAAATTGTAAACTGAAGTATAAGTGTATATTTATGTGTAATATTATGCAATGGAAATATGTTATTTAACGTACATATCATCTTTTACTTTGTCAGCTAATACGGCAAACCTTAAAATGCTGGGACACAGGAACATGCTGGGATGTTTGTGGTTGTGGTATTAGTAATAATCCTCTCTGAAAGCTGGAAAATATCTTGTGATGACCAATAAATAGTTTGTATATCTGGAAATAGATTTTGTTCATCTTTAAGTGGGGTTTTGAGCAGAGCGGATGGCGGGTTTGAGACGTTTTTTAACCAATAAACACTGAAGTTTCCATAGAATCCTGCGTGCTGCAGCTGCGGACAGACCCTCCACTCGGATGATAAAGCTCCAGTCTTTATACCACTGCGAGGGACACAGGTGCATCTGTCTGCGGAGACCTTTAGTTTCCTTCCTTCGCCAGGAAGCGTTGTTGAACTTACTTTACTTACTGTAGATGATATTACCATTATTATTATTATACTGTATTTAAAGAGGCAAAAAAGCCTTTACCCAGGCATGGTTTTGTCATTTCTATTCTATTGCTGATCCCTGGGCAAGACATGTTTTCGTTCCCTTTTTCTTTCTGAAACTGACACAAAGTTGCATGGTTAGTTTTCCTCTTAAAGTTATGTATATCAACTTGTTTTAACTGCGGGGCCAAGATGTCACGTCCATCTGATCAGACTGAATGACGAAGCTTGCTAATGTGTTCTTTTAATGAGCTTCGGCTGTCATAAATATCATCATAGCAGACAGAAGTATTAAATATTTTATAACAATAAAATAAAAATAAAAACATGTATTCATCTAATAAAAGTATATATATATTTTTTGAATAAAATAATAATATAAGTGAATATTTTCATGAAGTATAGAAATGTTGCTATTGATCTGGTGTTTACAAACTAGTATAAAGTACAAACAATTTTCAAGTCATTTCCATTGAATATTTCTGTAGCACAATTCTTGGTTTAGATTGTAGTCCATGGCAGATGAGTGGTCTGAACATCAGAGAAGTCAGTGTCTGCAAAGTGAATCAGTTTGGGTCTTTGGACGTAGCTGTGTCCCCTCTGTCCTCCTCGTTACCTTTCCACATGCTGCTCTTCCTCTGCGCTCTTCCTCCCTTTTCCCCGGAGCACCACTGGCCAGCGTCTGCCCCGTGATGGCTTTCCCTGGTGTCCGTGAACGCACCATGCCAAATATCCATGTTTATGCAAGATTCACGCATTTATTTACTCAATTTCTCTCCTTTGTGCATGTTTTTGTACATTTTGCGGTGTCTTTGGTCTGTCAGTATAGTTTTTTCCATTGTGGCATGGTAAAGATTCAAATCCGCATACAAAAAAATTGATTTTCATTGCCTTCCTTCTAAAATACTGTATTTAAAATATATATCTTCAACCTAATAAAAATAAACAAGTTAACGATTACTAATGAAAATCAGTGCAGACTAACACACCTCCTGTATTCCTGTTTGACTACGTCTTATATTTCACCCTTACAGCCCGTAATAACTAAATAAATCAATATTGGTACAAAAATGAAAAACAAAAACCATCTGATCAGTATACTGTCAATGGATCACACTGATGAAAAATAACAAAAATGTATATATTGACTTATCATTGAAATAGTTCACAGCTGAAACAGTACAATGCAGCATTCAGAGCAAAAGACAAAAGATATGGGTTATAACCGGACAGGGCAGAATCTTGGGGCTAGATATGTTAAGACTGTACTTTGTGAAAAATAAGATTATTTTCCTCATAACGTGAACATTTGATCTGTTTCGGGTTGAAAAACTCACTTGTATGGTTAATTTTGACTTAATCCTGCTTTTTTCTTCAGGCTTTTCAGGATTAAGACATGTTTTTAATGGTTTACTGGGATTATCCCACTGTATAGTCATTGTGTCACTTTGTTAATTGTAATATTTCTCCAGAGCAGCCGCCCCTCATTAGAGGCTCTTTCGTCTTCCGGCCTATTCTTGCGTGTGACAGTGACTACCTTTAAAAGTAAAAGAAGCTATTTTACACTTTGGGTTGTGAATTTCTCCTGTTCGATTTTCAGCTATTTTTCACCATGAATCATTTTCTGCACCTGGCATCCATGTTTAGCCTTGAACCAAAGCTTCTGGTCTCCAAAGTCACTATGTGTTTGCCTGTTTAAATACGGCTTTTATGGGACCCAGCCACTACCCAGTCTGTGGTGCCATTTCAAAACCACATAACAAAAGTACTTCAAATGTATTTTTCCACCAATGAATGACTTTCTTTTAATGAACACTAACCAGGGCTGTTTATGTTACTGTTTCCAAATTATTTTAGGTGCTAACTCTCTAACAAACTGTTTCTTTAGACAAGGTGGCATTTGGGTGGATTTTCCCAACAATGTGATAAGTGCCTTGTGCACATTAACAACCAACGAAAAAGACCGAGTCGCACAGCCCAGAAATACTGTAAAACCAAGTACTGCCTTAAATACATGTTAGGAATACATTTATGATCAAATATGATAATAATGATGCATAGTTTGAATCAATTATGTGGTAAAAAGATCTGAACCATCCATTTATGTGTGTGTGTGCGTATATGCGTGTCGTATGTGTGTGTGTGGTATCTGTGTCATATACATTTGATATTTCATAACTGCATTCTATGATTTTTTTAAGGCACCCACTCTGCCCTTGAGGAAATACTGAAACAAAATCTCTCAAAGTGATGAAAGCAGAGAAGTGCAGATTTAAGTGTGGCTTTAGAGAAACACTTTCTAAAATGAACATCAATAAATCTCTTGAAACAGAATATGACTGTATAATGAAGTGGAGATAGTTGTGTTACTTCCTCATATTGAGAATGTCCTATACTCACAGGGTATGTTACAAATTATTTACTGTATGCATTACTGTTGTAGCTCATTGAAGCAGATCCTCTCCACAGATATGACTAATGAGTTGGTCAATTTGTATCAGCTTTTTTTATATGGAAACTAATGAAATGTCTTGATCTTGTATAGAGAACTTGCCAACCCATTGAGACAAGCAATAGACAGACCTGTGGGCGGCACGGTCAGACAGGGGTCTTTCTATGTGGAGTTTATTCTGGTTTCCCCCTGTCACTAAAGATACAGTATACAGTAATTCAGTGTGTTTGTGAGTGTGACATTCATTTACATGCACTGTCCCAATGAAATAACGGCAAGGTGGATTTATTTATGAAACACCATTCATGCAGAAGCAACACAGGATGCTTAATAGGCACAGAAAGAACATTGGGAAACAATAAAAAATCCATAATTAAACAACAAAATTCAGGAGCAGAGCACCTATTTCTCCTACGAGGGATCAATAAAGTATCTATCTTTCTATTTATCTACCTTTACAGTTCCCTCTGTGTGAAAGGCTGTTTAATCATCAGTTAATTATAGCTTTGAATAAAACTAAAACATACCAGTACATACAGCATTTTTAACAAAATACTGTTGGCAATATCATCTCTCGTTTTGTACCCAATTAATCTTTTCTTTCTCCCAATTCAGACAAAAGTAAAGCGGTTTGGACAGCCCTTGTAGGTCAATTTCGCTGCCTGCTTCCTGAGGTGAAAGATTTAAATGGCACTGCGTGTATTGTTTAAAGGATCAGGCTTCTATTATGATCCCATGAAGCAGGGATAATCTTACAAGTTTGGTTTTATAAAAGGAAGAAGTACATTTGAAAAAAGTGTCTTGTGCGTCCTAAATGAGCCCTGGTCTGATGTCTCTAGCAGGCCGTCTGTCTGCCTGCCTGCTTCACTCCCACATGCTGCAGATCAGGTTCCCCCCGTACGCCTACGCTGCGCAGATGACCGTTTACACACTACGATAAAAACCTACACTCTCTCGAATAGATGGACATAGTCGTGCATATTAAAAAAGACCAGCCTGGGTTATAGCTTAGCCCTCTAATGATTCCTGTGTTTTGCATTGATGAAAGCAGAGGAGATGATGAGCAGAAATGACTGAGGGGGCGAGTTGGACCAAGGTGAACCAGAAGTTGGATCATACCTTTAATTTGGCAATTTGTCTGAGAGGGAAACAGTTGTGATGGTAGATTTCCATTTTTGGATGAGTGAGGGAAGTTGACGGAGCATGTGTCTTCTCCAAATTGGTAGCTTTAATGACAGTGGCTTTAACAAAGAACATGTATTGTGTATATTGGTTTAGTGATGTAATAAATAATGTATGAGCCTTAAAATTATGATATTTTCTTTGGACTGACTTTCTGCCTAAATAATGCCTTTGTAAATAGTAAATTTGAATCACTTAACACATAATTGGCCGTGTAAAAACGAACACATCATGGCCGACCTCAAGAAGAAACATAGATGTATAATTCCTTTCTTTTTAAATTCAAGTGACTGATAAATTGTCCCTTTGCAAAACGCACAACTCATTTCAGACTTCCAGGTTGTTATGCAAACTAGAGGTTAAGGTTGAGAGAAGGTTAAACGAAACCAGATTATTATTATTTGTTCTGAAGTCTTGCCCCTGAGCGTTCAGCATTATTCTTTGCAAGACAATTTTCATGATTTGCTCAAACACAGTGTTGTTTATTACTCAAAGTCTCACATAAGTTAGGATGATTCTCTTCAAAGCTCTGCCTATTGCAGGACGAGGATGAGTTATGTGTTGTTTTTTGACAGCTGCTGTTTCGGCGT